TGACATTTTCAGAAGGAGCCCTCATTTCCCATTAGGGCGAACACCAGTAGTCTTCCACACCTACTGCCCTGCGAACACCACAGCTCACTACCTAACCCACCGCCATTTTGACCCCCTACCCAGGAACTTAAATGGGGTGAAGTGCCAAAACCCCATCCCACCTGGCAGCCAATCAGCAAAAACTAATGGGCCTTGCTGGCAGGGTGGTAGTTTTCAAGAGAACGTGTCACTTTGCCCTGAACAGAACGTCTCCCTTTCCCCTCTATTTAGAAGCATTGTTTCAGTATTATCAACCATCATGTCAGAAGCAAGACACAAATGCCTGTGTACACATCCCTTTATCCATAATCCCATTAGACTGGCAGAGGGATCAATAAATTAAAAGTAGCCCAGGACCCACTGCACTGCTGCCAATTCTCCTGGAAACTTGGGGACCCCCGATTATTTCAGGGTTCTCTACAGGTCTCCCAGTAGCTGTTTCAAGTGCCCAAGATAGGTGGGATCGGTCTTACTATAGTGACAGTGCTGTAGAGGCCTCACTCAGAACTCCAATTTGTTTTCCATTTCATGGATAGCTTGCCGCTTAAAATCTTTCAGCCAATCAGAGCCCCCCAAACACAGAAGGCTCATTGATACCGTGTTTCCCCGAAAATAAGACACTGTCTTATATTTTTTTTGGCTCAAAAAAACACACGAGTTCTTATTTTCGGGGTAGGTCTTATTTTAATTTTTTAATGTACAACAATCCACACTTATATATGTACAACAGTCTACATGTATTCATATACAACAATATGGTGATCAGGACAATCAGGGGTGCTGTACCTTTCCAAGAGCAATTTGCTAATCAATCGCTGGCCAGAATGAGCAAAGCGCGCTTTCAGTATCTATTCCTAACAGGCGGAGGGCATTTGGTATCACTCCGCCTGTGACAGGAGCCGGCGCTATAGAGGAGGGGTCGGCTTATGCGGCTCTGCTCCCTCCGGTGCCGCCTCGCTTCCTATAGCGCTGACTTCGTTGGCACTGCTGATTCTCGCCTGCCTCTCCCGCGCCTCTTCAAGTTCCCCCTTATGCCACCACCAACTGTGGGAATGGTCACAACTAGGTCTTATTTTCGGGGTAGGTCTTATATTTTAGCAATTCCCAAAAATAGTACTAGGTCCTATTTTCGGGGTAGGTCTTATTTTCGGGGAAACAGGGTACCTGCTTTGGTGGCACGTGTTTCACTGTCACTCTCCACCTTAGAAGACAACAGAAGCCATCAAGGTTCTGCTTCCCATACGACTGGGCTGGCGAGGGTACGGACTAACTCGTTGCTGCACTGGATGGGTGTGTGAAATTGACCTCCTCCTTCCAGATGAGGGTGACCTCCTGTTGTGCTGTTCTTGCGTGCTACCATTACTCTGAGTCAATACTACATGTGGTACTCTGCAGGGTTGCCAACTTCTTTTGACTAAAGCACAGTGTCATTGTTTTCCTTTGACCTGTTGGCCATAAGGACTGTGAGCACTCGGGATGAGGGACTTCCCAAAATGTTAGGCAATGGCTATAATGAAAGCAGAAGTGGTTAGTAAAAGAGATCATGATGCAATATCAGTGCTTTCCATTCATAGCACAATGAAAATATACACAGTAAGAATGACTGGGCGTGTGTGCAGCGTGTTTCAGTGCATTTGTGGGAAAAAGATACAAATATGCCAGTCCTATATTGGACTTAAAGCACACTGCACCCCAAAATTTAGGCTTGTAACCCTGTAACAGTAGCCTCCTGGGATAGCTATGCTTCATTCATAGAACAGTATTCAACCACTCGCCGGCCGTTGTAAAAAAACGGCCGCCCAGGAGTTCTCTAGATCTGAGCGGGCGTCTTTAGACGTCCACTCAGCCACGCCCCCTCGCGTGCGCCGCTGGGCAATGCCCGTTATTTGAAAACAGGCAGCGATGCCCGTTAATATACAAGCGATCCGTCGGCTATAGAGCCGGCGGATCGCTTGTATGAGGTCCCGTGATGTGCGCCCCCCGCCTTCCGCTGTCAAGCTGGTCCCGGGCTCCGCTGTGCCCGGTGCGAGCCCGGGACCAGCATACGGCCTCTGTCGCATGGGATCAGAGGGAGCTCAGTACACGACCTCCCTCCGGTCCCCTCTCCGCTGTCAGAATGCGGAACTGATGTATATTACACCACTTCCGCATTCTTATGTCACTCTACTGTTCTTAGCAATAAAGTTAAGTGAAAAAAAAATAGCAAAACAAAATGTAAGTTTCCCCCCCAAAAATTTCAAGTTACACATTAAAAAAAAAATGTTATTCTTTTTTAAGTCCCCCCCATACATATACGCATGCAAACAGACGTCGGGTGCGCATACGTGCGAAAACGACGATTTCGCCCATTGTTTCCTAACGAAAAAAACGTTTTCCCCCAAAAATGTCAACAATTTTTCCTTAATATAGTAAAAAATAAAAACCCCAATGGTGATTAAATACCGCCATAAGAAAGCTCTATGTGTCCCCAAAAAATTGTATAAAATTAATTTCAGTACAGCGTTGCATGACGGAATAAACGTCAGTCAAAGTGCTGCAGCGCTAAACACTGAAAAATGGCCTGGCCAGGTAGGGGATCTAAACACCTGGTCTTGAAGTGGTTAAATAGCCGCCAGATCCCTGTCTGCACATGTGCGAGATTCGGCAGCATGTCGTCAGGGGCCGGCTAAAGGACCAGGAGCCCATGATGTCAATGAGCAAGGGTGATGGCATGGGACAGGACCTGTGGGAGGACAGCGGGATGATCCACACCCCTGCTGCCCCTCTACTCCCTGCTGCCCCAAGGCCGGGCCTTGGTTGGCCTTGTGGGAAATCCAGCCCTGATTACAATATAAGAGCACCATAGGTACATTATGAGGATTATTCATTTGGGACTGTGATGTTCCTCTTTAAAGGACAACTCCCTGCGCACCCTTAAAACATGCCCTACCCCTCAGCTACACCTAGCCTATGTAGTGCAAATAGTGGGGTGATTTTGGTGGGTGATTTCTACTGAACAGAGCCATAGTCAATGGCACGAGAGGTAAGTATTCCCTTTCTTGCTTACAGGCATGAGCTTTGTTCACAGTTAGGTGACAGGGTCTCTTTAAGCATCTGCCGGGGAACTATTAGATAGAAATTGTCTGGAATTCAGCCGTAACTCTAGGCCAGTGTTTTTCAACCTTTTTTGTGCAAAGGCACACTTTTTTCATGAAAAAAATCACGAGGCACACCACCATTAGAAAATGTTAAAAAAATTTACCTCTGTGCCTATATTGACTATATATAAAGTAATTCTCTTGAATAGGAATCAAATAAACACAAAGAAATTATTTTATAATTACTTTATTATGAAATAATAAAGTATTTTATAATTGTTCATATTTCTGTTCAATCCATGACTTAACTTCACACTTCACACAAATACGTTTTAAATTCAAACTGTAGCACTGACGTAGCCCTGGTTAAAGTAGGGTTCAGTGGGGTCTCACTAGTCTTGGTTAAACCCCACAGAGCCCTGGTGAGAATAACTCCTTCATGGCACACCCAGCGTTACCACACAACCCCAAAAGCCCCATGGCTTTGTGGGGTCTCACCAGGGTAGCAGATTTTGCCTTGTACACACATGCGATGACTCACCGGCCCAAGAGTGAGGAGGAGACTCAGCCCAAGTGATTCCGTCAGGTAACGAAGGGAAGGGGGAGGAGTCTGTCCGTGACGTCACCGGACTCCTCCCTCCTTCCCTTCGTTACCCATCACGGACAACTACATCACCCGACTCTCCCCCCCTTCCCTTCGTTAGCCGACAGAGCCACTCGGGGAAGGGGGGAGGAGTCCGGTGACGTCGATGTCCGTGACGTCACCGGATCTCCGACGGAAGACCCGGAAGCCGGCGGAGAGGTGAGTAACTTTGATCGATGAAAATAATTTTGATCGATCAAAAAAATTAACGATTTATTGACGGCACACCAGAAAATATCTCACGGCACACTAGTGTGCCGCGGCACAGTGGTTGAAAAACGCTGCTCTAGGCTAATGTTAGGGTCAGGGGTTACGGGGTGGGCAAACTCCGGTCCTCCAGCTGTTGTGGAACTACAAATCCCATGAGGCATTGCCAAGTCTGCGTTAGCAGGGATGTCCGTATAATGAGGCAGCCTGAGGAGGTTGCCTCAGGTGGCATCTCACTGGGGGGAGCCTGGGTGGTGTGGGGGCAGCCACAGCGTCCCAGGTTGCTAAGGCATTTTGCCGCTCTGTGGCTTCCTTCCCAGCTCACTGACGTCACCGGTTGCCAGGAGCTGAACGGGACGCTCTGGCTTGTAGCCCATAGAGCTCCTGGCAACCAGTGACATCAGTGAGATGGGCGCAGTGACGGACAGAGCCGCTGACAGTATGCTCCGGCTTCCTCCAGCACCCATCCCCCCGGAACAAGAGCACATCTCCTCAGGCGGCGAATATCTCAGGGACAGCCGTATCATCAGCCTTCCCGGTTCTCTTATGTAAACTGCAGATCATCCCCTCCTTGTGTTGTGGGGATGACGAGGAGGAAGTTGTTTATAGTCCAAATTAGGGTAGCTGTCTATGGTGAGAACACCATGGGGGGATTAAAAAAAAAAACACTGAAGCAGACAGAATATGGAGCAGTTGCCCATAGCAACTAATCAGCTGATGTCTTCAGTTTGCTTAGTTACATCCTGAATCACTTTGCGGTGTCAGTGTTTCCAGCTCACATGTAGTAAGTCATCTATACAATGTGTATGATGGAAGTGTATCGGAGCTCCAGGTAGTTCTCCCTCCTCCGGCCACAGCCAGCACAAGTCAGGAGACACATGTGGTCGGTGTTGTGATCCGCTGTCATTGCTGGAAATGATCTACTTTCACTTCCAGTGTCTGCCAACAGGGGGAGTCAGTGAGCCGCCCGTCCCCGCCATCATTGCCACTTTCCCCGGCCGCTGTCACTTCCAGGACACACAGCGGGCTGTACACAGGACGGGAGAAGACCGGAGTATACGACGTGCTCCGCGCTATGGGCTCCCGCCGGGAAAATGTGGCTATGAACGGTATGGGGGACAGCTCCCCTCTCCGTGATGACGAGGTAAGGGGGGCGGGGAGAGGGATGACGGGGACAGGGGCCGGGTGTTTGGGGCTGTCTGGGAGAAAGACCGGGGTGCTGAAGTTGCACATGGAGCCCCCTGTACTCCTCAGTGTGATATTTCTTGTCTGTGATTGTTCATCGGAATCCATGATTTCTGTATCCGTGTACCTCCTTGTCATGTATCCTGGTACACACTGTCTGCTACATCTTCTCTACTGATTATTATCATTATCATCCCAACACTGCTGATTACTCCATCCGGCCTCATCTATCTAATCTATCTATCTAGTATACAGCACCCCCTGTGTTACCAGGGATCATCCAGAGCTGCCTGGGGGCTCCCGGAGCAATCACTGATTTCTGTCTCTCACATGAGATACCACTGACACCCATAATGTTCTCAGCTCTCTGTAATGGGGGCACACTTACCCCTGACCACCAATGTAATGGGCATTGCTCCCACTGGCCACCAATGTAATGGGCATTCCTCTAGAGCTGCAGCTAACGATTATTTTCAAAATCGATTAGTTAGCCGATTATTAAGTTCGATTAATCGGATACAAATAAAATACCAATGTAAGGGGCATTCCTCCCACTGACCACCAAAGTAAGGGGCATTGCTCCCACTGACCAGCAATGTAAGAGGCATTCCTCCTACTGACCACCAATGTAAGGGGCATTCCTCCCACTGACCACCAAAGTAAGGGGCATTGCTCCCACTGACCAGCAATGTAAGAGGCATTCCTCCTACTGACCACCAATGTAAGAGGCATTGCTCCCACTGACCACCAATGTAAGGAGCATTCCTCCCACTGACCACCAAAGTAAGGGGCATTGCTCCCACTGACCAGCAATGTAAGAGGCATTCCTCCTACTGACCACCAATGTAAGAGGCATTGCTCCCACTGACCACCAATGTAAGGAGCATTCCTCCCACTGACCACCAAAGTAAGGGGCATTGCTCCCACTGACCAGCAATGTAAGAGGCATTCCTCCTACTGACCACCAATGTAAGAGGCATTGCTCCCACTGACCACCAATGTAAGGAGCATTCCTCCCACTGACCACCAAAGTAAGGGGCATTGCTCCCACTGACCAGCAATGTAAGAGGCATTCCTCCTACTGACCACCAATGTAAGAGGCATTGCTCCCACTGACCACCAATGTAAGGAGCATTCCTCCCACTGACCACCAAAGTAAGGGGCATTGCTCCCACTGACCAGCAATGTAAGAGGCATTCCTCCTACTGACCACCAATGTAAGAGGCATTGCTCCCACTGACCACCAATGTAAGGAGCATTCCTCCCACTGACCACCAAAGTAAGGGGCATTGCTCCCACTGACCAGCAATGTAAGAGGCATTCCTCCTACTGACCACCAATGTAAGAGGCATTGCTCCCACTGACCACCAATGTAAGGAGCATTCCTCCCACTGACCACCAAAGTAAGGGGCATTGCTCCCACTGACCAGCAATGTAAGAGGCATTCCTCCTACTGACCACCAATGTAAGAGGCATTGCTCCCACTGACCACCAATGTAAGGAGCATTCCTCCCACTGACCACCAAAGTAAGGGGCATTGCTCCCACTGACCAGCAATGTAAGAGGCATTCCTCCTACTGACCACCAATGTAAGAGGCATTGCTCCCACTGACCACCAATGTAAGGAGCATTCCTCCCACTGACCACCAAAGTAAGGGGCATTGCTCCCACTGACCAGCAATGTAAGAGGCATTCCTCCTACTGACCACCAATGTAAGAGGCATTGCTCCCACTGACCACCAATGTAAGGAGCATTCCTCCCACTGACCACCAAAGTAAGGGGCATTGCTCCCACTGACCAGCAATGTAAGAGGCATTCCTCCTACTGACCACCAATGTAAGAGGCATTGCTCCCACTGACCACCAATGTAAGGAGCATTCCTCCCACTGACCACCAAAGTAAGGGGCATTGCTCCCACTGACCAGCAATGTAAGAGGCATTCCTCCTACTGACCACCAATGTAAGAGGCATTGCTCCCACTGACCACCAATGTAAGGAGCATTCCTCCCACTGACCACCAAAGTAAGGGGCATTGCTCCCACTGACCAGCAATGTAAGAGGCATTCCTCCTACTGACCACCAATGTAAGAGGCATTGCTCCCACTGACCACCAATGTAAGGAGCATTCCTCCCACTGACCACCAAAGTAAGGGGCATTGCTCCCACTGACCAGCAATGTAAGAGGCATTCCTCCTACTGACCACCAATGTAAGAGGCATTGCTCCCACTGACCACCAATGTAAGGAGCATTCCTCCCACTGACCACCAAAGTAAGGGGCATTGCTCCCACTGACCAGCAATGTAAGAGGCATTCCTCCTACTGACCACCAATGTAAGAGGCATTGCTCCCACTGACCACCAATGTAAGGAGCATTCCTCCCACTGACCACCAAAGTAAGGGGCATTGCTCCCACTGACCAGCAATGTAAGAGGCATTCCTCCTACTGACCACCAATGTAAGAGGCATTGCTCCCACTGACCACCAATGTAAGGAGCATTCCTCCCACTGACCACCAAAGTAAGGGGCATTGCTCCCACTGACCAGCAATGTAAGAGGCATTCCTCCTACTGACCACCAATGTAAGAGGCATTGCTCCCACTGACCACCAATGTAAGGAGCATTCCTCCCACTGACCACCAAAGTAAGGGGCATTGCTCCCACTGACCAGCAATGTAAGAGGCATTCCTCCTACTGACCACCAATGTAAGAGGCATTGCTCCCACTGACCACCAATGTAAGGAGCATTCCTCCCACTGACCACCAAAGTAAGGGGCATTGCTCCCACTGACCAGCAATGTAAGAGGCATTCCTCCTACTGACCACCAATGTAAGAGGCATTGCTCCCACTGACCACCAATGTAAGGAGCATTCCTCCCACTGACCACCAAAGTAAGGGGCATTGCTCCCACTGACCAGCAATGTAAGAGGCATTCCTCCTACTGACCACCAATGTAAGAGGCATTGCTCCCACTGACCACCAATGTAAGGAGCATTCCTCCCACTGACCACCAAAGTAAGGGGCATTGCTCCCACTGACCAGCAATGTAAGAGGCATTCCTCCTACTGACCACCAATGTAAGAGGCATTGCTCCCACTGACCACCAATGTAAGAGGCATTCCTCCCACTGACCACCAATGTAAGCGGGTCCTTCACTGACCACCAATGTAATATCAATGTGAATTGGCACTTTACTGTCCCTCAATATTTGGGGGCACAACTCTGACCTTCTCTGCAAGTGGGCACTATACCACCAGCCAACACTGGGAGGAAACGTGACACTTTTCTGCCCACAATATTTTGTTTTAATATCATTACTGAAAGTAAGCTTGTGTTATGGAGCAGCCCTGAGTGTCATCTACACAAAGTACTCCACATTCCTCATTCTCTTATTTATATCTGCAGCTTTCTGTTCCCTCCGATGTCCTATGAGGTGTAGATATAATTATTATCAAGGGTTCCCAGGTACCTAAAAGCTGATTCAAGGGTTCCTCCATATTAGGCGCCATTCACACCAGGGCGGCCGCGGATTCCACATGATGTTTAAAAGGGCGTTTTGGGGCGTTTAGCTCTTTTCCATTGAAATCTAAATGGAAAACGCACTGATCAGTGCTGAAAAAGTCGCTCAGGGAGGAGTCTGGGCGGCAGGCGGATTGAAACGCGTGCTTGCATGAACGGGCCCCATAGGAATAAATGTTTTTTTTACTGTTGGTGTCCTTGTTGGAATCGGATGGTGTTGTAGGTGAATATGTTGTTGTATTCCTGTACGCTAACAATGGTCGGCATTGTCTGTGTTGCACAGGAAGCTTTTACTTGTAACATTATTGTTATTTAAAGGTAAAATGCTGGGATTTTGGGAAATTAACCCTTGCAATGGAGCTCCCCCCGCACTGCTTGTTTTTCTCTAGGCGGCGAAAATAAAGAAGAAACACTCACTCGCCTGATCCTCAGTCTTGCGGCAGTGACCTCCCCCCCTCCGACTATGGTATGTCCCTCTGCGACTTTATTATGTCTAATAGACACGCATTAGAGGTGATGATGTCACTGGGCCTTAGCCTGCCGGAGCACGGGGGTGAAGATGCTGCAGCGATGGGTCTAGTAGCCAGGTGGGACTGAGGATCGGGTGAGTATTTCTTATTTATCTTCACCCCCTACACAAAACAAGCACTTAACCCTTGCAGTGCAGGGGTAGCCCCACTGCAAGGGTTCATTTTTCAAAATCCTGAAGTTCTTCTTAAATGGTTAGTTTACCTTTTTACAACAAATGAAAAGATAAACTAACTTACAACACCCTCCTCATCCTCCAGGTGCCCGCTGCACTTAGCTGCTTCAGTGTCTTGCCACCGGTGTAAGGGGCCACACACTTGGAAACGTTAGTACTTGGCTCCGGAGGCTGTGTAGTATCACAATGCTGGCAATGCAGAGCAGTCAGTGCGGCCATGTGACCACACTGACCAATGAGAATCTCCTCTTTTGTGGGACGCTTCCATGGAAGAACGAAGGCTCAGAAGGGATTCTCATTGGTCAGTGTGGTAACATGGCTGCGCTGACCAGTGACCACTCTCCATTACCAGCACTATGAGGCTGCATGGTAGGGTTGCCACCTGTCCCGGATTCACGTGGACAGTCCGGGGTTTAAGTGCTGTAAGTGCTGTTTCTGAGTTTTAGGCCAGCTGAAACCCAGACACAGCACACACAGGACTCAAAACCCCGGACTGTCCAAGCGAATCTGGGACAGGTGGCTACCCTACAGCGTGGTAAAGTTTTGAATTGCGCGGCCCGTTACCCCGGTGTCGTGGTCAATAGGAGGTTGTCGTGTAAGCAGCTAAGTGCAGCAGCAATGGGAGTGGGTGAGGAGGGTGTTGTGAGTTAGTTGACCTCTTCATTATTTGGGGACATGTGAACTAATCCTTTAAATGTTGTCTGTCCTGGTCAGAATCTGATGGAGTTATAGAAGTC